ATTTGGAAATATTGCAAGGATGGAGGAAAGCTATTCTACTAATATTGGTTAGATGGGATCAATCGTGACACCAAGGTTTTTTAAAGATGTACCTGATGCAGCTGAGAAACTATTAAGTTTAAGCATTAAATCAGACAGTTTGTTTCTAGCAGCCTTTGGACCAAGAAGTAGAACCTCTGTGTTGTCTGAGTTGAATAGGAATGAGTTACTCAAGATCCAGTCTTTAATGTATTTTACACAGTCTCAATCTTATAAAGTTGAGATTTATTTTCTGTTTTGGTCAATATATATAATTGTGTGTCACTAGTGTAGCAGTGAAAATTGATGCTGTGTTTATTGATAATGGTACCCAGAGGTAGCTTATATAATGTGAATAATGAGGTTTTAAAACAGAGCCTTGTCGAATGCCATGCTTTTCTAAGAACAAATGATTCACCATTTACATTCACAAAATGACAGTGATCAGTCAAGTTAAACCTGAACCAGGAAAGAGCTACACCTACTCCTACAAGGTTTAGTAAGATAAATCTAGTAAGATAGAGTGGCAAAGATACATTTTCTTGGTCAGGAAATAAAAAGAGATCATTTACAGCTTTCACTAGTGCTTTCTCTGTACTACGATGAGGCCTAAATCCAGACTGAATTTTTTCATGTATATGATTCGTATGCAAATAGGAATTTAGTTGTTGTGCCACAGCTTTTTCAAAATCTTTAATATAAAATATAAAGGGGAGATTTGAGATGGGTCTATAATTTAATAGCTCACTACGATTAAGATTAGGTTTCTTAATCAGAGGCCTAACTACTGCTAGTTTAAGAGTTTTTGGTATACAGCCAAGGCTAAGAGAGAAGTTTGTTATTGTCAGAAGAGGCTTGGTTATTTCTGACAAAATTTCTTTGAGTAAACTTGTAGGAATTGGATCTAATATGCAAGTAGAGGAAGAGGAAATCATTTTACTAGCTCAGTTTGTTGAAGTAAGGTAAATGATTCAAGCCTCTCTGTAACTGTCCTAAAAGTTTTCTTCTGGTACAGATGAGACCCCGCTCCTACTGATGTTTGGCAAACATTTATTTCCCTCCTTTACTGCTTCAAACATCGTGAAAAACTGAATTGAAATAAACATTGAATTTTATGAACAAATTGCATTATCACCGTAAAATGAGTCTCTGTTGGCTTAAGGGCATTTCTCAGCAAAGTCCATTTGGTGTCCATGAAGATTTAGTTAACCATTCTACTTGAAACCAACGTCAATGCAGCATTAGTTAAATCAGGTCCTGTGAGTAGGTGATCATTTAGGGAGGTGCCTTCAGACTTGGCAGAGCAGTCAAATACAACTCGAATTTTCTCTGGCTTCCTTGCATGGTAGACCCCATATTTTCCTTTCTCTGGGGTTTGTGTCCATAAAATCTGCTTCCAATGCCTTGATCACAGACGCAGGTGTGATAGACAGGAATTCCTTTACAGAAATGCAATGGCAGCACCCTGTTACATCCCTTGAGCTAGAATGAGGTGTTATGGATCCCGCTATACTCCAGCCTAAATCTGTTTTGACTGCATATGGATCATGATCTTCACCTGATATCACTTGTTTTGGTTTCAGGGACCTTGCGCAGTCATAGCCAATTAGAAGCCCTACAGGACAATTCAATAGATCTGGCATCTCAGGTCCATCCCTTTGCTGTTTCGCGAGTGGGAATACTATTTTGCTCCAGTGGGATGTATTCTTGAGTATATGCAGGTGGTAACTCAATGTACTCTTGCAAAAAATACCCTCTTACTCTTAGTCCAACTGCCCTTCGACAGTTCACTATTGTACCTTTGTCAATCATTGTTGACAACCTCAATTTTACAGGGTCAGTGTCTGCTCCAATTTTTTCACAAACATCCTGGTCAATAAATGTATTACTGCTCTGTGTATCTAGTAATGCATACACCAAGGTTTCTGGGCTGTTTTTGACTACACAGGACAGCCATACTGGAACAATCATTGATGTATGATCGCCACTGTCTGCTTTCACGTTGCATAAGAACATAGAAGCAGTGTCCTCTTGTGTTGGTGCTTCTGACCTTTCTCCTTGAGGACATTCTTCATGAAGTGGAGAGGGGTGACTTTGTCTGCAAATGTTGCAAGTGGCCCTCCTTCTACAATTTCTGGAGACATGGCCTACTCTGAGGCAACCAAAGCACATATTGTTGTCAAAGATGAATTCTTTTCTTTTCTTTTAGAGGCATTGCTGCAAATTTTCCACATTTGTATATAAAGTGATTTTGTTGACAGCAGGTACATTCTATTTGCCCTTTGTTTTGAGTGGCAGAAGAAGAAACCGCATTACTGCTGCCGTCTGTCCTAGCCTGTGGCCGATCTCATGATCCCTCTTCCCATCACTCATGAACAAGAAAACTCCTCCACCTGGGGCAGGTCCTTTCCCCTTAACTGGAGTGGGCATGCCATCCTTTTCTGGGCTAGGACCATGGACTTGGAGATGCTGATCCATATACCAACCGCTTCACGCTCAGCTGCAAACTACTCCACTGACTGCTGGAGGCATTCATGCAATCCAGCCAAAAGGACATCATCTGCAAATAGCAGAGGCACCACCCTCTGGTCTCCACACAGAATACCCTTCTGACCTCAACTATGCCTTGACACTCTGTCCATGAATATCACAAATAGGAGTGGATACAAGGCACAACCTTGGTGAAGTGCAAGACTAACACTGAACAAGCTTGACTTAATGCCGAGTATATGATCGGGCGGAGTCTTCTTTCCAGCACCTTGGCATAAACTTTCCCAGGGAGGCTGAGCAGTATGATACCCTGGTAGTTGGTATATACTCTCCGGTCCCCTTTCTTAAAAACAAGGACCACCACCCCGGTCTGCCAGGCCAAGGGTATTGTTCTCGAGGTCCATGCGGCATTGCAGAAGCATGTCAGCCATGACAGTCCCACAACATCCAGAGCCTTAAGGAATTCTGGAATATATTTGGAGATATATTTGAAGTCAGAGTTTCTCCACCCTTGCCGAATACAGCTTGGGCAAAGCCACCCCGACTGCTCCTGAGTCACCAGATAGTTGTTCAGAACCTCACTTATGAACATCCTTGTGCTCAAACTTGGTGTTTGTTATGAACAATCCATGCCTAGCACTGAGGTCCAATAACAATTCACCATTCGAGTTTAGATCGGCAGGCCGTTCATCCCAATCACACCTCTCCAGGTCTCCCAGTCATTGCCAACATGAGGATTGAAGTCTCCCAGAAAGACTATGGAGTCTGTAGGCGGGACCCTTTCCAGAACCCCACCCACTCTTTCCAAGAAGGCAGAATACACCGAACTGTTGTTTGGTGCATAAGCATGCACAACAGTCAGGGTTTCCTCCCTGTGATTTTAATTTGCACTGAGGAGACCCTCTCATCCAACAAGACAAGCTCCAACTGCACGACAGCCAGCCGGAGACTCATGAGTATCCCCAAACTCACCCGGCACCTCTCACCCTGTGCAACTCCTGAGCAGGAGAGGGACCAACCCCTATCAAGGAGTTTGGTTCCAGAGCCATTTATTGAATCCCAGTTAATGTTTATTTGAACTTAAACAATTAAATTACTTTCTTGCAATTATTGCCATCACTTAGTCCTGGCAGGTTGTTTGTCTTGCCTGGTTGAAAATTATATATATATATATATATATATACAGTGGTGCAATATATATATATATATATATATATATATATATATATATATATATATTCATACACACTTTGCGAGGTGTTTTTTCCACACTGCCTATGCCAGTGCTACCTTAACATTATTTTTCCTTGACCCACAACACCACAGATGGAACGATTTCCTGACTAACACACTGGATTCATCTCATGAACGGCTCGATAATCCATTGATGAGTTGCATCACATGTTTTAATGTAAGGAATAGTTGAAACTGTGTGAAGCTGCATTCAACATTTGTTTACCTAAATACTTAAGTTTCTAAATGATTTTCTGATTATCTGATTGTGTGTTACATCAAAAAATGACCAACATTGTGACATGTGAGCATAATCCTCTTTAGCAGTACTACAGTCAGTAAGTGTTCCACCATGTTTGAGGCAGATCACGGCTCTCAGAGTAGGCGTGGCTACGTGCTCAGAAGATCTGTCACTCCAAATCAGTTGACCAATAAAAAGTGCAGGTGAACGCCTTCTTCTAAGACCCGTCCCCGTTAAAAATACCAAAAGTCAGAAATATTGCAGAAATAAAAAAATCAAGAAGCAAAACAGATATTAGCCAACTTAGCAAACAGAAAGAAATGAAAGCAAAAACTGGCAAAATTACTAATACATTTATATCACAATAATTAAAGTGAGTAAAAATCTTTTTTTTTTTTATTTGAAAAATTAAGCATGATATAATCATTATTTATATTTGCAACATATTTTGGACATTTCTATACTTAACATTTTGCTTGTGGTTTTTATCATTTCATTACAAGTTTTGCCAACAAATCAACTCAATAACCATAAGGTTGATGAAGTATTAAATTGGCCCACACCCACAACCATCAAAGAGCTTCAGAGATTTCTGAAGTTTTTTATTGCCAATTTAAATCATAAAATACTTGACAAAACAACAAACACGTAAACCAGTAGTTCCATGTTAATTTTATTGAGCATGAATGAGGAAGTTAACACTAAGATTTTTGTTAATCAAGATTAAAAAGAACTTAATTAAGCATGATCAAATTAAATAAAAAATTTAAGAATTTCAAAATTTAACTTAGTCCCTTCCCAGTTTAAATCAAAATAAAAGTAACCTAATGTGCTCAAACATTATAAATATCTACAGACAATACATAAATATTACTGGAGTGATTTTGTCTGCAGAATTATAAAGAAGTTAAACAGATACTGAGCAGTATTTTCTTAAGTGAAACTATATAGTACGTTAAATTAGTGTGCAGTGCATTAGAAGTGATCTGTGTAAGAGGGTTAGATGGGTAGATGGTTATCATAGTGTGTGCAGTGTGATGGTCAGAAGTCCTACACACAGAGAGACGAGCCACAGTCCTGAACCACGATGTACAACACCGGAACCTGAAACACACACAAACACACACAATTTAATGGCAGTTACAGGACTAAAACAGCTAAAAAACAGTGCCTTAAAGTGCCTTATTTTGAATTAACTGAATTTTGAACATATATATTGTGCACTTTGCACTTACAATATTTCTTTTATAATAAGTATATTAAATACATTTTTATAAGTTAAAATCTCTAAAGTTTAAGATAGCACAGATATTGACTTTAAGATAAACCCCATTTTTTTACAGTGCATAAGTAATAACTTGTGATAGTGTTACAGAAATGATTTGAGAATTTGACTGTTCCTCATTTCTCACACTGAAGACAGAAGAGGAGACGAGGAAGATCTCAGTTACTGTGAGGAAGAGCGCAGAACCGCACTAGAACAGAGACTCTACAGAAGAGGAGACGAGGAAGATCTCAGTTACTGTGAGGAAGAGCGCAGAACCGCACTAGAACAGAGACTCTACAGAAGAGGAGACGAGGAAGATCTCAGTTACTGTGAGGAAGAGCGCAGAACCGCTCTAGAACAGAGACTCTACAGAAGAGGAGACGAGGAAGATCTCAGTTACTGTGAGGAAGAGCGCAGAACCGCTCTAGAACAGAGACTCTACAATTATTTGTAAATATATTGTAAATATAAAGTGAAAATATGCACAGCAAGTAACAAAAATTGTCGAAATGTCTGAATTCCTGTTTCCCCCTCTCTGTAGCTCAGTGCTGTGTGGTTCTTCCATGAATGACTGGTTTTGATGAACAGTGTCTTACCCGTCGTGGCGTTGACGGTCTGGTTGGTCTGTGTGATGGTGGTGTTAGTTAGTAGTGTTGTGACTGTAGTGGCCGGTGCAGCCGTAGAGCTGACGGGGTCCGCTTTGCCTCCTGAAAGTCCGAGTAACGCCAAATCAGAACTGTACTGCTGAGCCGCCCACATCCTGACCGTTGTGGTGTTCTCAAACAGCTTCAGGTCGGCCTTGTTCCGTCCCATCAGGTTGATCACTGTGTTCACATTCAGGGCCTGAAACACAAACATAAAATACAATCAGTACAATAAAATACAATTTTTCTTCACAATTTATCATTCAGTACAGAAAAAACTATATAATTTCTTTTTTAAGTTTTACTAATTTTATTCAAACCATTAAAAACTATTACAGAAACTTCCTCTCTTTAGTTTTCAGTTAAGATCTGGCAGGTAAAGATTCCCACAAGTTTGTACTGCAAAAGCAAATCTGATCTTAATTTAGGAATTTTATCTTATCTTACAGCATCTTATCTTCAGTTAGGAAATCTTAACCTGCTCAATCGAAGCGACAATCAACTGTCTGTCTGTTACCTAGAAACCAACAACATGTGCTCAGCTGAAACGTAAATGTCATCAAAATAACATGTGAGTTAAGCTGCTGTTACTGATGTAAAAAAGTTAAAACAAAACAAAAGTGTGATAAACTGTAAGTTGTGAATACTGTGAGAGCGCCCCCTGCTGTTTATCAGAGCGTCACCGCTCCCCAGTTTCAGTCTCCATTTCCCAAACGCTTTAGCCGAGCGCGCTAACGTTACTCCTCCTAATAAACAGACACACGTTCAGCTCCGTCTCCTCATTATTCACCACCATCACTGTAATATTTCATCGTCAACATTAACACACGAAGGTAATCAGAGGGGCTGTGGAGATCGAGTCTGCAGCGTCTGAGATCTTTAAAACGCAGAGTTAGAAAAGAAAATCATCTCACAGTGAAAGCAGCGTTTTACAGTAGAGATAAATGGAGCTCATTATGCTGGTAGTGAACTATGCTGCTGACACAGCTGCCTAAAAACCATAGAAACGGACCTTAAACAGAAGTGAGGACCCTGTTGGGGTTCATCCTAAAGTTAGGACAGGATTTAGGAGGTTTAGTCTAGTTAGGATGTTTGTGTGATGCTGTTTTCTTATCTGGAGTTCATGATGAGATTATGAAGGTAGGAGCTGTTATTCTGGAATAGATACTGTCCAAAATTCAGTTTAATTCAGTGAAGTCGTCATGGAAACTAAACAGATCAGATTTCAGAGTTAGTTTCTGTAATACGGCCCCAGGTCCAGTTCCTACGCTGGACAAACTCATATACTCAAGGTTTTGGTCCATAACGCAGCTTCATCATTAATTTGCTGAAAAAGCGCCAAACACAGTTTAAAAAAACCACAGCCTTTCCAGTGCTAACAGCGGATGAACTTAAAACAGCCCCACATGAACATTTCTTCTCTTTAAAATGAAACTGCTTACAGCGTGGTGTTTTTGTCAGCACACTTCTTCACTGCACTGTTTAAATGTGGAAATATGTACCATCTCAACTTGGGTACCTGCTCACTCACGGCAGTGAATGTCATGCTAATGCTAGACAGCATGTTTTCCCAGCACGGCTGCAAACAGCGCACCCCTGTACTGGACCCTCACTACCCCAGTCACTAAGAGAGGCTAGTGGGCCTGGTAGATGTAGCAAAGCCATGCTTTGAGCAAAGAAAGCAGCAGATTTGGATTTTTAAGCGGATGTGCTTTCAACACTTTGAAATGGACTGTTCAGATCAGTGTCTCTCCTCACAAATACTCTTTGCCTAAATGGGCCGAATTCCCTCAGACACATCCCAAAATCTTGTGGGAAGCTTCCCAGCAGAGTGGGGGCTGTTACAACTGCAAAAGAGGGAGCTACTCTATATTATTGTCCATAGTTTTGGAGTGAGACATGTAATCTCATAAAAAAACAAAACAAAAAAAAAACAGATATGTAAGCTTATATAGGCGCATACATTAATATATTGTCTCAGAAACGTTGTACTGATTTTACCATACATTTTTGTATACTCTGAGACTAAGGCCCAATCCCACTTCACCCCTGACCCCTACCACTTAGCCCTACCCCTCAGTGTTATGAGAAGAAAAAGAAAAAATGGCAAGATGGCTGCACAAGCAACCAAAGAAACCCAAAAATGTGAGAATTTTCTCTGTTAAAAATTATGTTAACAATTGTATTATTTTAGTGTCTTAGATTGTCTTAAAGTCATTTCAGTGTATTATGGACTTTTTCTTAATACAAGCATAAAAATCGTTTGTAGTATGCTAATGTCTTGGTAGCTAGCTAGCTGAATTTCACGTTCCACCTTAAATAGTCCAGCAATACCAACACCTGAAGTGCCAGAATGTAACTGGAATGGGAAAATTCCAACGAGAAGCTGGCGAATAGCTGACTTCACCTTCATATAACTGAAGAATTAGGGGAGAGTAGTAATAAATATTTGACCCCCCTCTTTGAAGGCATATGATGCCCTAAATGAGACTAAAGCCCAGCAGCGAGGTTACTGAACTTTACCTTCCTCTGCTATCACTGCTGACTAGCAGGGTCACCTAGCAGTGCTAATAGCCTGTTATTGAAATAATGTTCTTTTTATTTGAGGATCTCATTTCATAGGGAAGATTTCAACCACTAACCCTTGTAACTCAGTTCCAAGGGGCAAGAAGACACTTAGAAAACGAGGAGAATGGGTACAAATAAGAAATGGGGTTGGGCTTAAATTTGAATAGTATGTACCATGTACTTCTGGACATTTAGTGCAGGTCCAGCAAACTGAGCAGATGAAGCCTAACACCTCTTCTTCAGAAAAAGCATAACATTACCTGTCCAAGTGAGCTTTAGTACATTCTCTTGTTGGCAAGAACAGCTTTGTCCTGCATTGGTGAACAGCATAACTGACACTAAAGAAGCTGGGCCTAGTAGAGCCACTTTGTTCTAGTCAACTAGATGACAATTTCATACCTTGATCACATCTGGGTTCAGATTCAAGAAGGTGGTGATGTCCATGCTGATGTTGAGAGCAGAAAGAGCAATTATATCCTCTACAGGAGCTCCACCTAAACACATACATAAAATAATGTATTCATTTGGCAAGACTGAGTAACGTAAAATATAGACAGTACAAATTCTCAGACATGAAAACTCATGAGCGGTGAAAAAGGTGATACATTCAGAAACCAAGCCACAAAGTATTATCATCGTCATCATCAATCAGTTAGTCCCGACAGGGTTGGGGTAGCAGTTGGGAGAGCAGAGAATCCCTGACAACCCTGTCCCCCACAACTTCCTCCAGCTCATTCCAGGGACTCCAAGCTGCTAACAGGCCAATTTGGAGCTGTAATCTTTCCAGTCGGTCCTAGGACGACCCTGGGGTCTCGTCCCAGTAGTCCATGCCATCCTGCGAAGAAAGCCCGGTCTGTCAGTCCAAGGGTACTGTTCCTGAGTTCCATGCGATATTGCAGAGGAATGTCAGCCACGACCGCCCTAAACATCCTTAAGCATTTATGGGCGAATCTTATCCGCCCCCGGTGCCTTGCCACTGACGAGCTCGCAAACTACCTCAGTGACCTCTACCAGGGAAATGGAGCCTGACATGCCAGAAGCCTCTGGCCCTGACTTCTGTGAGGAAGGCATGTCTTTCGGATTAAGGAGTGCCTGAAAGTGCTCCTTCCACTGACTGACAATATCCTCATTTGAAGTCAGAGTTTCTCCACCCCTGCCAAATAGAGCTTGGGTGAAGCTACCCCATCTTCTCCTGAGTCACCAGATAGTTATCCAGAACATCCTTGAAACCGACCGAAAGTCTTTTTCCATAGCTTCACTGAACTCCTCCCATGCCCTGGATTTTGCTTCCGCCACCATTGCCGCTGCCGCCTTTTTGTCTGTCGGTAACTATCTGCTGAGTCGGGAGTCCTCTTAGCCATCCAGCTTGATGGCCTCGCTCATCACTGATGTCCACCAGGGGGTTCTTGGGTTACATTCCACGTACCAAGAGCCAGTTTCCACCGCAGGGTTCCATGCCACCAAGAGCCTCCCTGCCATATCCCACCACCTATATGGCACTGCATTGGTCCCCCATGCTGGACCTTGCTGGTGGTTGGCCCACACAGTCCCCCCACATTGCCTTTTTGGGCTGAGCCCGGGTGGGTTACATGGGCTGCCTGGCCACCAGGCACTCACCAAGGAACGCTACCCCCAGGCCTGGCTCCAAGGGTAGTTCCCAGTAACCCTCTCCTAGGCAGGGTACATGATTTCCTGTGTCCCTTAGTCATGGAGGATTTTTGGATCAAGTTAGTCTGGGTCTTCACTTCAGACCTGTTCGCCTTGGGAGACCCTACCAGGAGCATACTGCTCCAGATGACTTAGCTCAGAAGATCCCTAGACCACACAAGCCCTTCCACCATGGCAAGGCCCCGATCCAGGAAGGATGATGAAGTATTATAATTTAATAAAACAGCTTGTGACATTGAGTAGTTAATCTGGCTTGGAGCAAATTGTCTGCAGCTTCTGAAGTCAGGGTTTTTATTCTAAGAACTTGTTACTGTTACTTTTGGTTATTTTTTTATTCTGTTACTTGTAACATATTACTTTTTTATTCTAAGAACTTCAGATCTATTATCTCCTCTGGTTCTCTCTCCTTTTTCTGGCAGCTATTTTTTACATTCGGCCACCATAAACACTACAGTTTTTATTTCCACTAAAAAGGCTGTAAAAGCCTTTTACTTCAGGAGTTTGTTATTTTAAAAGAAATAAAGATTGTATATCATAATTTGTTCTTTAGATTTCTTGTCATCTTCCTGGCAATATGGCTGCCTTTGTAATTTTGTAACTTTTAAACTGTAATTCTCAAGTATGAACAGAAACAAAAAAAGCATCTCTCTAAAAGTGTGACTCTAGCAGGTACTCCATGTGTGACTTTTCACCCAGACACCTGAACCCATCATGCTAGATGTTTTCAATATACGTAACCTACATTTAATTTGATGCGTGTCTAAAGTAAACTTTTAAGTGCTTTGGTTTCATCAGCAACGAAAAAGGCAAACACCACAATTGGCTGTTACTCTGAGCTCAGAAAAGGAAGGGCACTGTGAGAGTCTTAGAATGAACGGTTGTGTATTTATACCCCTGCAGTCATCAGCAGTTCACGCTAACCATCAAGCCAAAGTCAGGCTAAGTCGAAAACGAACACAGCCAAAGTCACATTGAGCATTGCACATGTTTTTAGGTGTTTTTTAATGTGGTATATAAAGGTAAAATCAAAGGAATTCAAAAACGGCCAAAATAACCCAAGACTCACAGTTAAATGTACTTGAGTGTGAAAGTACTTCAGTATCAAATTTAATGTGTTGCCAGATATTCTAACATTTCTCTTCTTGTGTCTTCAGTTGTTCACTCTTCATCCAAACCCCTGATTTAAATACACATTACGTATACATGTTATGACATTCTCTTTAACTCTGAAAGCTGGTCAGAGCTGCCTGGGCCTTGTTGCTTTTGCTAAGCTGTGACAGAATGTTCTGTATTTAGGGGAGGAGTTTAATGAAAGGTGTGCTATGATTGGCTTAATTTATTTGTAAAAGTGCATCATATTCTGTCTTTATATTATGGAAAATCTGTTTTTTACTTCACAATGTTTTGCAAAGATTAAAAACTCGGATGCTTTACTGTGAAATGAGAACTTGTTCATAGCGTGTGTATGGAGGTTACCCAGGTAAGAGCTGATGAGTTGGTAGTATACTCTGGGGTCGCTGCGTTGGGTGCTGAATGAGGACTTTGCGATGCTGTAAAGAGCTGATTGCTGATCGATGGAACATGAGGATGCATTCACAGCGTTCGCTGACCTGCAGAAAGGAAGAAAGAAAACAACTCAGGAGTTTTTGCAAGAGTTTTGAACATACAAGACTGAGTGAATCTACATTGTTGTTGGCTGTTAGACCCATCATGCAGCTACAGATGAGAAAGCACTAAAATCTGTAGACCAATAAAACGAAATAGCAAATCCATTCAATCCATCCATTCACCTCTCTCAGCACAGGTATTTCAATGGGTATGAATGTTATTCTTTTAAACTTTCACTACTTCCACTAGATTTAAGTGGACCGTCAATTCTTACAAAAGCTTTACACCAGGCATGTGAAGATTGTCAGGTCTACTGCTGAAGTTCTGCACCTAGAAAGGTCACTATCTCCCAAATTCCAGAGTAATTGTCACCTGACTTTTTGTAGCAGCCATTTTGTATGTAAGCATATTGTCTAAATCTTGTCCTTTGCAAAGTCTTGTTCTTGTCGTGCAGCACAATTTTGAGCACTCTAGAGCACTGTAGTGTTTATGCAGTGAGTTTGCTGGATTTGTATGCGAGTATCTAGAATGGACTCTCCCTGTACAAGATTATGAGTTTACTTTATCAAATCTGCACTTGACTCCAAACCCTTGTCATGAGTCTCATCTTGCCTTAACATGGAGCCAGCAGGTTTAGAAGAATGTTGCAACAGGAACAAAAGATGGAGAACCTTAGTCATAAGATGCAAAAGGTTCTACACCATGTTACATCTGTTGGTTCGAGAATTCCCTCCACCCGTCAAGCTGAGTTCTCATCCTCAGCATGCTGGCAAAAAGGATGTAGGCAATTTATTATGTAAGACTCAGCAAGGTGCATGTCCTGCAGCAGATAATGTTTTCGAATTAAAACTCTGGGTGCTGTAAGTGGGTTGAGTGATCCTGCTTTACTTGCAGTGTGTAAAAGAGGACTTAGAAGGGACTTGCAAACTACAGTGGCAGGTTGTGGAGAAGCCCTTTCACTAGACCAGTTTATCCAAACCACAATAGCTTTGGACAGTATACTGAGGGAGATACATATTCTACAACTTCCCCTCACTGTTCCTTCTCATGATTCACAAGATTCATCTACTCCAGAGCCCATGGACCTTGGAAGGATTCTGGCATCATTTGGAGAAAAACAACAGAGGTGCAGAGAGACAGACTATGTCTTTACTGTGGTCAAGATGGGCATATGCACGCAACCTGTCCTAAATGTCCTGATGCTGTCATTCCTTGATTCATCCTCTAGTTAACACAATGCTGAAGGCTCTTGATGACCGATGCTTGGAGGAAGGGACTGTGAAGGAACCAACAGTAGAGCTGAAAATTAAAGTGGGACTCTTGCATGAAGAGAAGATATCCTTTTCTATGGTTGAAGGAACAATAGCCCTTTATTTCATGGGGAGACAGATATCTTAAAATTGGGACCTAATTGTTTTCAAAACTTTATTAGCATGCGTGTATAGTATACTCCACCAGCCTAGTCCAGATTATTCTTGTTGTAACAATATGTTCTCCTGTTATTCTGATTTAAGTGAAGTTTTTTCAAAAAATAAGGCAAGCCAGTAATCCCCTAATCATCCTTGCGACTGCACCATAGACCTTTTACCAGGCTCTACACCCCCTAGAAGTAGAATATACCCTTTGTCTAACCCTGAATCCTGAATGGTCTCAATGAATATATATTCATATCTATGAGGCTCTCAATTTCGAATACATTGTACCCATGAATTGATTACAGAGAGTTAAATGAAATTACCATTAATACCCTTATCCTCCTCCGTTGGTTCTGGCAGCTTTAGAACAGTTACGAGGCAGTACTATTTTTGTAAATTAGATCTAAGGAGTGCCTGCAACCTGATCAGGATTAGAGAAGGAGATAAGTGGAATATTGCCTTTGTGATAGACTGTTGGGTTATTGTATATTTGAATTACATTCTGGTGTATTTGCAGTCTTTGGAAGAATACCAACAATACGTCAGACAAGTTCTCCAAAGACTGTTAGAATAAGACTTTACAATTGAATGATGAAGCCACTAAAAGTTTAAAATCTTTGAGGAATTGCTTCATTTCTGCCCTGATTCTGATGCATCCAGACCCATCTCTGCCTTTGGCAGTAGAAGTAGATGCTTCAGATTCAGGAGTATGAACCGTTCCTTTACAAAGATCTGGATCACCAACTAAATTCATCCATGTGTTATTTCTCTCACAAGTTCAGTTCAGCTAAGAGAAAATATGATGTGGGAAACCAAGAACCTCTTGCTATTAAATTAGCCTTGGAGGAGTGGAGGCATTGGTTAGAGGGATCTTTGTATCTGTTTGTTGTTCTAACTGATCATCGCAATTTGGAATACATCAGATTAACTAAACGTTTGAATGCCAGACAAGCGCATTGGGCACTGTTCTCTACTTGTTTTGATTTTACTGTCACCTATCATCCTGATTACAAAAACACTAAAGTTGATGCTGTATCTCGTATCAGGGAAATAGCATCAAATACTTGCAAGGGAGAAAGCATCACTGAGCCTACTCCTGTTAGATGGAAAATAATGGATGAGATTTAAAGGGAAAGAGAAGATTATCCTAGTCCTGCTCAGTGCCCTCTTAGTAAAACTCTCTGTCTTAAAGTTGATAGAAGAAATTTGTTCAATCATTCTTAAGACAGAGGGTTATACAGTTGGTGTATCACACTCCAAGCTCAGGTCCAAGCCCTGGTGTACTACGCACAGGCATGCTGATTAAGGAAAAGTTTTGGTGGCCCTCGGTTGATTCTGATGTCTATAATTGTATTAAGGCCTGTGGGGTGTGTGCACAAAGTAAAGCATCTAGACAGCTACCGGTGGGACTCATAGAACCTCTACCCATCCCACAATGCCCTTGGTCTCATATCAGCATCAATTTCATTACAGATCTCCCTAAGTCTTAGAATTATACTGTAATATTAGTGATCATCAACAAATTTTCCAAAGCTAGCAGATAGATCCCAATGATCAAGTTACCCACAGCTATGGAAATGGCTGCAGCTTTGTTTCATCATGTATTCTGGTTTTATGGTATACCAAAACATATAGTCTTTGATCGGGGTCCACAGTTCACCTCTCATGTTTGAAAGGCCATTTGTTCACAGCCTAATATCAATGTTAGTCTTATCATCATCCACAGTCCAGTGGGCAGGTAGAAGGGCTTAATCAAGAAGTGGGGAGCTTCTTAAGATCCTATTGTAGTAGGTTTCAGAATGATTGGACACGTTTTTTACAGTGGGCTGAATATGCCCAAAATTCCCTGACTAGTTCCTCAACAGGGATAACCCCTTTTCAATGTGTTTAAGGTTTTCAGCCTCCACTACTTCCTTGGTCTGGGGCACAAATGTCTGCCTGCAGTTGATGAATGATCCAAACATGGGATGAGGCTCATGTGCGTCTGCAAATAACAATTAGAAAACAGACCATTCATGGTAGTAGAAGACAAAGTAAAGTTGCTCCATTGTACCCCGGACAATTGGTATGGTTATCGACTAGAGATATTAGATAGAAACTGCCATGTAAGAAGTTGAGCCCTAAATATATATTGGGCCTTTCCGAGCGCTAAGACAAGTTACTCCTGTATCATACCGATTGAAACTTCCTGCTTCATACTGCATTTCCAGGGTCTAACTCCTCCCAGGTTGAAATGGATGCAGTGGCACCTCCCCTTCCTTTAGATGTGGATGGCTCCCCTGCTTATGCTGTTCATACTCTATTGGACTCACAGCATCGTGGACTATGGATGGTTTATTTAGTGGAATAGGAGGGTTACTGGCCCGAAGGACCATTCACAGGTTCCTCCAGATATCTTGGATGCATCGTTGATTAAACTACAAATCTTCCAAAATAACACCTAAGTATAGTAATGAAGTCCAATTACTGAATAGTTTTCCACCACTGCTGAAATTGACAGCAATAAACAAGGTTTGGTAGATATTAGGGATGCATGGTGATATCTGAATTAAATCAGTATCGCCAGATATTCCTTTAAAAACATGACCAGCATCAGATAGATGTTCAGTTTGGCTGTTATTTCAAACTAAAATGTGATGTATGTATTGAACTCCAGAAAAGCATGCACTAAAAATAAAAATATCTGCTTTTTTTTTTCATTTCACTGCATTTATAACTAGAATCAAAACATTGTTTCTCTGCTGTGCTGATCCTGGTAGATGTAGTCCCAATGTAGTCCCAGTTTATACATTTGATATATTTTTATGTTTGGCTTCAGCAGATATGTACATGAAATACATCAGACATCAGTACATATCACACCATATTAGCGTTTAATTAACTGTCTTAATCTATAATTTCTACGTTTTTGTGGGTCTTAAGCAGAGATAACAGAAACTGGGGTAGGGCAGAAGAAGTTAAATGTAATACATACAGTCTAATGTCAAGTGCAGATCTCCAAAGAGCATGACAACAAGTCTAGAACATTCTCCTACTGCTTCTGACTCCATTCACTGTATTACAGCACTTTGGCAAGCGTTGTGTTGAGTTGTTTGGATCTGAAAATGTACTTACTTCAGGCTGTCAGCAGTGATGGTTTTAAGGACACTGGGATCCAAGGAACAGAGGTTGGAGCCGATTGCATTTATCTCAGCAGTCCCCAGAGTGTTACCAGCCACGCTCAGATACTTCATAATCACTGCTTTACTCTACAACACACAAACACAAACATATTATTCTGTCTCCATATAAATGCATACAACAAAATCAGGCATCTGACTTGAAACAAATGAACTCATTTTAAAAACAGAGCATGACCAATAATACAATTTTGCTGAGATCCCTTGCCATCTCTGTCTGCATGTTGATGGGATCACCTACGTGGACCGCTGAACTTACAGCGCCATTTGGGACAGGGCTATAGACTTGTTGAACTGTTTTTTCCATGTTACAAGATCCACCTAGTTAATGCATGTGAGTTCACAGCTAGCAATGACCATCATTTGGTTCCTGTAGTAATGTTCCAGCCACCATTAAAAATCCAGTACATGCCACAAACAGGCAATCGTAGACATGCTACCTGGTCTGAGGTCCAGTCTCCGTTAATTGAATTCATCAGAGAGGACAGTACATCAATTGTGGTGATGTTCCACTTGTTGATGTCACTAACAGTGGCCACACGAGACACGGCGTTCAGAATCTGCACCACACTGTTTGGAAGGCCCGATGGGAACAACTGCAACAACACACACACAGACCATCAAAAAACAAACAAACAAAAATGCATAACACTAACACAAAATGCTGTAAGACGAACACATGGATGCAACCTCATAGTAGACATGCATACAAACCAACATACACTGTCAGTAAGGTCACACACAAAAAAGCTCATTATCCAATACAGAAGGTCTTCAGTAATGCTGACCTGGTTTAATTTGTTAAGAACGACTGTCAGGAAGCTGGTTTCTATCACTTTTTCAGTGATGGCTGCTATGTTCTCTTTCAGGAATCCGTTGTCCAAACATGCATCAAACTGGGTGGAGTCATAGCCGAGAGGGAATGAGGGATCTGTACTTGTTGCTTCTGTGATGTTGCCTGTTGTGCATGCTGTCAGACACAGAGAGAAAATAGAAATTTAACCAAGAAACCAGGAGTTTATTGTCATAACATGGCCACTTAAAGGGGGGCAATATGGTGTCCCACAAGGCTCTACTTTAGGTCCCTTGCTGTTCTTCCTTTCCTCCTTTCCACTTCTAATAGCCAGGAAAACGTATTCTGTCTCTTTAAGATGTGCCCAAGTTATGTCCGCAGACTGCGCTCTGCTGCGCAGTAGGATGAAATAAAAAGTTGTGCTATAACATTACAGATCACAGGAGTGTGCTCTTTTTTATTTTAATTATTTTTTTCTGAGTAATGCCATTACGGGGCTTTGAAACAGATTGATGTATGAATGGACAAGCGAAGCCATGAGATCTGGTTTGTGTGGTCAGCTAGTATAATAAACCGACTGATCGGAATACTGCAAATGTGAGTGCAGGTTGTTGGTTTGTAGTTGCTCAATGTACTTCTTGTTTCATCAGCCTGGGTCTCATCACTGAAGCCCTCCACTATTCCGGTCGAAGTTAAGGTTTGAAGCTGGACAGACTCCAAAGCATTACACGCTCTTAGGACATATAACTTACTGGCTGCTTGCTCTGCTGTCCCTCTAAGGGCATTTTCACACTAGTTCACACTAGTGTGAATTTCCAGGACTAGGACCACTTGCTTTGGGAGTTTGTACATGTGAAAGCTGTTTTCAAGTCCAAGAGCATTCCAGACAACTGATCTCTGGTCTTCCTCAAATTGGTGGTCTGGATTTCACGTCTAGCCGTGACCTAACGTGACTGCTCCAACTTATCGAGTTACTTCACTTTTCAAGTTCTGTGATAGCAGGGAGAGGATTGGTGTGGAGAAAAAGTGCTTTTCTTTGCCGCTTGTGTGTTTGCTGCTGGATACAAACAGGTGAAGCTAGTGCTGACCATTCTGCAAACCTGCATGCAGAAAAGTGACAAATGCAATAGCAAGATCAATCTACAGTTCGGATGGAATCCTTGAGTCTGAAAGCAAACTAGTGACAATGAGTCCCTCCCCCAGTCGAGCCCAGAATCGGTCCTTGGTGCACACACAAGACACAAGTATTCAGGACCAGCGTGCAAACATCTTAAATTGGCTCTAACTAGTTTGAAACGCAGCAACCCGAGTGCTCACCAGGAAAAGAGTGTATTATTCCACTTTTATTCAGTTTACACTGGCTTTCTGTTAAGTTCAGCATTGACTACAAGGTCTTGCTTATTAAATTTAGTGATTTTAAGTAAATTTAAATTAATTTAATTTAAAATTTATCTTATCGGTTGAGCTGTGGCAGATCTGGCTGATGTGTTGAAGCGTGACAGCCATCCAGACCCCTTCACTCATGTGGGGCTGCTCACTTCAAACTTTCAGCATCTCTTACAGCTCAGTTGGTGAAAGATTTTTTTCTTACAGAGCCCTAAACTCTAAAACCAGATTCCAGAGATTATTAGGAATGCAAACCTGATTGGTGTTTTTAAATTCAGATTAAGATCATGTTTTTTTAGGCTAGTATATGCATAGTGCATTGGGTCTTTTTCTTCTATTGTTTGTGATTGTGTTGGTATAACACTGAAAATGTACTGTTTCATCTTATGTTTTACTTCATTGATGCTACATGGGAAATTTGTCATTTTTCTTATTAACAAGGCCCAGTTTTAGAGCATCTTTCCATTGTGTTTATTATTTTCTCATGGAAAGCAATTTTCTTAACTGAATTGAAAAATGTTTTACAAATAATAAATAAATAAATAAATAAATAATAATAATAATAATAATAATAATAAATGTTATTATTATTATTGTTGTTTTGTTGTTGTTGTTGTTCTTATTGTTGTTGATATTTTTATTGTTATTATTATTATTAATCTTGTTATTTACACAACTAACACACACACTCGCACACACAACACATATACACCTTGGTTCAAATACATCTGAAAACCTCAGTCACTCAGGTGATCCTCAAGTGAAAGGTTTTGGGTTTTGGCTCTAGTTAGCATCCAAAAGGGGACACAGCAATTCTTTTATTTTTTTTTTACTAAACTTATGAAGACACATAAGCAACAAAGGACAGAATCTAATCCTACAGCTCCTGTGTGTTAAAGCAATGTGTAGTGTACCTGCTCTTGTGAGTGCTCTGGCTTTGGTATTAATGCTTTTGCTTGTAAAACTGTTTGCTGCTGTAAACAATCTCCTGAGTTTCCAATTCTGGATCTTCTGCATCCTCAGGGATGGAAAGAACGTCTTCAGGAAGGTCTTTATTGTTGTCTTGAAGAAACACATAAAAAAAGGTTTACATAACACACCCAACCATCAGATAAACACAGATAAAAAAAACAGATAAACACAAGATAATAAGGGTACCAAAACAAAAACAAACAACAAAACAGACAAAAATAATACATTGAACAGCTTTACGTACAGAGCTAAATATGCCCCAGAAGTCTTGATTGAAGTAGAGGGGCAGGATGCCCAGCTGGACCAGAGTCTGCTGATTCCATGTTGAGGAATTACTGAAGACAAACAATGTGTATGAAACTCTATATTATATATACACTTACTAGTTTAGTAGGCAACTATACAATGAAGAAAGACAAAACAGCTCCTAACAGCTATTAGTACTCTGGACATTTTACATACCTCTGCACTGACTAATCAAGTCCAGTTGTAATAAAGGACTGATCTTTGAATTCTGATCCCCTCCTACCCCAAAAAAGTCACCCCAGTTAAACACACAATAGCCCAACACTTTCTTTAGGTGAATGATTTGTTATCAGTGTTAAAAAAATACATGCATGCACCTGTTTGTGTTGTAGTATGCTAATATGTATTATAAAAATATAAAATGGAATTCTGTCTATTATTATATTTTAATTATAAAATGGACTTCTAGAGTGATGAGTTGTCCCCATAGATTTAATAAATTTACTGTAAATATTTTGTCCCTAATGATGGGCTAGTGTTAACAGCTTTGGCAGAGCCATTGTGTAGCAATTTGCTTTATGTGAGTCTGTATTTGTCACCTACCCCCACATATCATGCAAAAAATGGTAAGCTATTCTGCATATCAGTCATGTTTTCTTCCTATTGAAGTAAGTGCTCCTTGGACACACTGAGCAAAGGAACCTACTACACTACTGCAGGCTTTGATATCTTTGCTGCTGTATGAATTAATTTATTTTTACATTAGTTATAATGCTTATTAGAAAACTTAGCACAATGATTTAATCATAATTAGGGTTTCAAACCTTCATAAAATTACACACTAAACATTTTGAAGCTTGTTCTACAGCTGTACACCTTAAGCACATAATGCATTGTCTTTCTTACCCATAAGAAGTATTGCCGGAGAAGAGCAGTGTCTGTATGGCGGTGACCTGAGTGTCAGAAAGATCTCTACAGTTCTTCAGTTTCTCCAGGATGAGTGGGTCAGAGTTCTGGATGTAGGTGGGGTCCAGTGTGCAGGACATATTACCCAGAATCTCCACCTGAGTCCTGTTCAGTCCTCCACCTGAGTCCTGTTGAGTCCTCACACCAGATATACCCTACAAGAGCACATACGACATATGAATGTGAGAATGTGTTTTTATATATGTTAAAGTGTTTGAAAAGGACGAATGTATTTTGGGTGCGTGGATGGGGAAGTATATCCAAGTTGTGAAATACAGGGATCCTGGTAGGTCTAAGACCTCCTAATAAACCTCTCAGAGCCCTGAATGTCTCAAAATCAAGATTCTGGGTGTCCCTGACAAAAAAACTTACAATGACATTATGATGTCCATCAGGGGAAAATAGACACTCAAATATGAATGAAAGCTCATTGTTTAGCTGCTTCATCCACAATATGCAAGCTTCTTTCTTTGGAATTCTCAACTACCTAGAGTTTCAACATTGCTCTGCCTCAGGGTGGCGCTGTAGCAAACTGGTTCACGCTGTTGTTCATTCATAGTCTAGCAATTGTTACTATGCTAGGGATTCCTCTAAAAACTTTACAATGTGCCTTTTACAACCTGTATATCTGTGAACTTTCCCAGTTTCTTAAGAGTTTGGTGTAAAGAGTGAACCGTTACTGTGAGCTGACACAGTGTGCAGGGAACAATGTATCTTTTGACATCCAAAGGCATTTTGGGCCAGAAAAATCTGAGAAGCAGGTTCTTTGTTCCTTGCTCCAGGCTTGTGGACCACACTAAAGTCAAAGTCATGGAGTCACAAGGATCACCTTGCAAGTCTTCCTGAAGGGTTAGGTCAAGACATCAATTACCTTAGGATGCTGTGGTTAGTGAAGATGGTCACATGAAGACCTGCGACACATGGCTTGAAGTATTTTAGTGCCCAAATGACAGCTAAACACTACTTTTCAGGAGTGGAGTACAGTTTTTCAGCTATGTGCAGACCTCCCTTGTCTTTCTGCATTAAGGCTACACCAAGGCCAGCATCAGAAGCATCTGTATGGATAAAGAAGGGGCAGGCAAAATCAGGGAACCTCTAGATGCGTGCTGAAGTTAAACAGTCCTTAAGAAAGTTCACAGCAGCTTCACATTCTTTGTCCCAGATGAAGATAAAGTGTTACTCAAACATTGGCAAGGTAAGGTAATGACAGTGTCATCCAGGTAAACAGCACAACCTCTGAAACATTGCAGGCACATTAGGGAGGCCGAACAGGACAACGCGAACTGGAATAGGCTGCATTCAGAAACGAAAACTGCCTTAGGTCTTGACTCCTCCTCTGCAGAAACCTGCCAGTAGCTACTGACTAAGTCCAGGGTAGGGAGAAACTTCCCTCTGGCAAGAAAATCCAAGGATTCACGGACTCTAAGAAGTGGATATGAATTTCTAACTGTTAACTGGTTAGGGCCTCGGTAATCTACACAAAAGTCATTCACTGCATAGTCATCGATCTCAATGTCATCTAAGGCAGGAGGCCCATCAGCTAAGACAATGGTTGTGGATAGGACATGTATGCTAACAGAGGAGCGCAACATGAAATCCATGCCTAAGATTAAAGGGGTCGAAAGGGTGGGGAGGATGACAAAGCGGTGGTAGACATGTTTGCCCATAAAGCTGATGGTCAGCCACATAATACTGACAAGACTACAGGAGATTTCAACTGAGCTGAATCATTGGGGCTACCCAGGGTTGAATCTTTCCGTTTGACTGCTGCATAACATCTGCTCTTACAGCCAACAGTGAGGTGCCTGTGTCAAGCGTAGCACCTAGTGCGTTAGCATTTAGGTTGACTCACTCTGAGTGGAGTATTCCAGAATGTGGGAGAAGAAATGTCTTCCATATGGTCAAGGATAGGTGGGTCATGAGATCAATCAAAGCTTGAAGGAGGGGTATTTAAGTTCTGCCAGAAAGACTAAGGAGGCAAGAGTGATGGAGGACAATTTTTTATATCCTTAATGGAATTTTACAAGGTGAAAGATAACAATTCAGTAGAAATGAAAGACTCTTTGACATAAGCCCTGTCCTCTGTCCAGGTCTTGGAGTGTAGAGACCCTCGCTGATCCTGCCAGATAGAGATGGCAGAGGCAGAAGCTACCCCCCGGACAACCAAACAGGAACCCAACTGGTGGTGGTGGGGAGGAAGGAGGGGAATGTCAAAATGTAGGCACCTGAAAGCAGCAGAATAGGTACGCAAGTCGAGTCATTTAAAGACAGGTGTAAGCCTGTGATTGGTCAGGACCAAAGAATGAATGACATAGCATCAGAATCTTCCTGGCAGAACTTTCACTAAAGTTTCCATTTCTGGAGGGAGGATTGCCTCTATGAAATGTCCTCCCTCCTCTGAAATTTTTCGACCATTTGCCAGCATACCTATTTCTGTTCTTGTCAACACTTCGTATAGTGGCTCCATGATCAAGACAGCGAAACTCACCTTCCATTCGTTTTTGAGTGTCATTACTTGTTGAATCAGCACTGGCACAAGTCATTGTGCTTGGAACAGCACTGCAGTTGGGGCAGTTGTGAGACATAAAGCCAGGTAAGGAACATTTAAAGCAGAATTTGTCCCTCACAGGCTTATTTTTTCACTGCTCTTGGGGGTGGTGTGGGTAGCATGGGCTGAGCAGAGAGTGCATTTCATGGGTGTGCATTAGTAGAACAACCACAGAGGAGATGCAGTAAAGTGCAACAATATTTATCAAGGACTTGTCTGCAGATAATTGAATTTGTTCCTGTCCTGGTGGTGGGCACCTCATTTTGTCAAATTCACTGAGCACATGTAGGAAGAGGCTCACTGGGTAACTGGAAGTGGTCCCGTATACCCCACAGAATGCATTCTTGAAGGTCTGCAGGACAAAATACCTTGAATAAGTCACAGAACTGGTCCCACAAGAATACATGGTTTTGAAGGACAGTTAACTCTTTTCTAGGTTATTTGGCAAGGAATCGTGGGAGTTCAAGCAGTAAATGATCATCACTTAAAGAAAGATAACACATAGATATTTACCAGTTGCAGCCATTCTGAACATCACCATCATGAGCAAATACTGGTGGTATCATGTGATGAAGGACTGTTGTAAGGGCTCTGGCTGTGTGGCTTAATTATAACGAATATTGTGGAAGACTGGAAGCTGTGCATTGTTGCTGAATATTATTAGCTGCCATAGCGTGCTACGAGATGGGCCCCTGGCAAGGCCAGGTAGAGCAATGGAGGTTGACCAGCTACAAGAGGCTTGAATGCAGGAGAAGTAACTAGCATTTGCCGAGCTAACAGCATGTTCCTCATAACTGAGGTGAGTCTTTTGTAAGTCAAGAGATTGGTCTAGACAGTCTTGTAAGGTAGCTATTTTAGCTGTTTCAAATAGTACATGTTCATCTCCTTCGCTGCAACAAAGTTTACGAAAACTTTACCAACTCACTCTCGTAGGCAACAGTACATGTCCACTCACTCGCTTACTGCAAAAAGTTCACAAAAAGTTCACCAGGGCACTTGCAGTTCAGAGAAACAGTTTGCAACCAACTCACCCAGCCAAATGAAAGAACAAATCATTTCAAAATTCACACAATAAACTTAAACAAATGTTCAGTAATTGTTTGTTTGTCCAGTTTTAGTGAGTTTTATGTGAAACAATTCAAATCTACAGCAGAGAAAAAGCACAGAGCAAAAGAAAAAATATGGGGGAAAATATGGGCATCCGCCATTTCGCGCTGCAGGGTGGCACAGATTCAGTAAGGTTCAGGCTCCAGCTTAGCAAGGCATATAAGCTTAATGTTAGTTCTCATAAGGAATTTGAGCAGTTTGCACTGACCGGCGAGACCAGGTCCAGAGAAAAAAAAATGCTCTGGGGCCAGTTGTAACGCTTTGCAGTCCGTCCAGCTCTGACCCTCGACTTCAGCCTGGGTAGTGGAGAGCTTTGGCGATGAGACCCAGGCTGATGAAACACAAGTCCCACTGAGAAAATACAACTCGCACACACCTTGGCAGTATTCCAGCCAGTCGGTTTATTATACTATCTGACCACACAAGCCAGGACTCATGGCTTTGCTTGACCATTCATATATGAATCAAGACCCAGTCCTAAGCACTGAACACAATGGCAATACCTCACAAAGTGTGAGTGAAAAGAGTCAGGTTTAAATATAAAAAATAATGATTATTCACAGCTGTGACTAGTTAATATTCAGGTGAGCCCAACTTCTGCGAGATGTGATGTCGAATGTGGTGGTGTGACTGTCACAGGGTCTCACATGGCATTCTGGGAGTTGGAGTCCTGGGCTAACTCAGCCGGTAGGGAATGAAGGGTGGGAGAAATGGAGGAGACAGAAGGGGACGTGACAATAAGGTTCTGGTTCTTGCATTCCAAGTTTCAAAGGGCTCAGCTCTGTGGGAACAGCACCTCTATCAACCTAGTCCAATTTCTGGGCACATATCCTTTCCTGATGCCCACCAGGTAAAGCCTCACTACTTCAGTGTTTTTCAGAGCTCCTCAGTGTTAGAATGGCCTTCCATTCCCAAATTCTGTACTGCACAATCTTTCTTCCTTTCATTGAGGTTGGAAAACTTACCTCTGCTCACAATTCCCAAGCTAATGCCTGTCAGAGCTCATTAACTCTTTATTTTTTACGCAAGTTTCTGCACCTAACATTTATGTTTATCATTTGTTTATTTTTTTAAAAATATTATTTGTTCCTTTATTATTTATCATTGTGGTCTACATTTGTGTTGGGCTCTTGTCTTTTAGACCTCTGCAGATTTTTTGGGTGCACTGTGTCAGTGCGGCTTTCAAGTTGCTCTGGATAAAAACGTCTGCTAAATGAAAATGTAAATTCGCCACTGTGCCCTTCATTACACTTTCAATATATTAAAATGTATAACATAATGCACAGTAGGCTTAGGGCAAAAATCAGCTTAGGACAAAAGTTGTCCATTGAGTTATACAGTTGTATGCAAAATTTGGGCACTCCTGGTCAAATTACGTGTTTCTGCACAATTTACTGCACAGTTACTGTTTATTTGCTGCATTTCATATAAAATTTTACAAAATGTGGCTTGTGCAAAGTTATGGCACATTTTATCATTTTCCAATATATAAATAAATTG